CTACTTAGGCATGCTTAGGCAAGCCTACGGACTGTAGTTCGATCCCTAGCACCACATGCTGCACCAGCCCTGCCCCTGGCTCAGAGCTAGCTGAGCTAGCCAGAGTCCAGGTGTAAGAGTCCACGCCTGTAATCCCAGTGCTGGGGAGGCTGAAAACAGAAGAATGACACCTGTTTTCGGAGCTGCATAGTGAGACCCTGCAACAACCAAATATATTAAAAATAAATAAGTAAATAAATGTTAAAAAAAGATTTTGCTAGCAGCTCGCCTACCCCTGAGGCCATAGAGTAAAAGCAGCAAACAGAGGCAGAGCCTCATACAAAGAAGTCTCTAGGTTTTACTTAGTGTTATCAATGATGTTTATACAAGGAAATCAACTTTATAATTCAGTCCACCCAAATCATTGCTTAAGCCACACCAGACTTACATTGATCAACTGGTGATTCTTTCTTTGATAAAAATTTTAAAATTATTTTTTATTGGGTTAAGAAATAAAAAACAATTAATTAAAGGAAAACATTTTAAGGGACTTTTCAAATGTAAGTGTAGGTGGTCTCTAGGAGGGCAGCTACAAAGGTGAAGGGCCATTCCCCCAGGAATATAACTTAATTGAAAAGCAAAAAGTAGAGTGGTTCTCTCTCTCCATTACAATTAACACTAAAAAAAAAAAAAAAAAAAGGTTGTTACATTTTTTCCCTTTAAGGCGATTAAATTAAATGGCTCTTTCTATCCTATAGATAAAAAGCTTGCTTTCAAAAAATGTAATTCCTCTTATCCCCTGTATGCTGTGCTACCCTGCCCCTGGGGCACTCTGAGACCATGAATGAGACTGGGCATGATGGCTGATGGTGCACGTCTGTAATCCCAGTGCATGAGAGGCTGAAAAACAGGAGGATCATTGAGTCCAAGCTATGTAGTGAAACCCTGTCGACTCTGTACTAAATACATTTCTAAGAAATACTTCTTGAGATTTACAATAATGAGGATATTTATTTATTTATTTTTGAGGTACTAGGGATTGAACTCAGGACCCTGTGCTTGACAGGCAAGCGATTATTCTACTGAACTATCTCCCTGGCCCTGTAATGAGGGTATTTTAAAAAATTAGCTAAAATTCTTTTATTTCCTTATAAGGTTGATTGTTTGTTTTACAATCCAAATTAAAATTGGTATTAAAAAGCTTTGATAATCTACAAACAAATATAGAGATTTGGAGTACAATTTAAAAGCAATGGGGTTTAAAGTCACTTTATTTCAACATCTCATTTAAGTAATAAAAGGCCCAGTGGTGGCCCATAAAGGGGTACAAGTTATGGTAACTTCTTAATATTTGGGTCAATTTATCCAATAAAGATATATTGTGACCCAAACTGTTTAGATCAGCCTTTCATGGGTTTTCAGACATTATTTGGTAATATTAATTGGCTCCATCTAGATTTTGGGTTAATTACTCTAGCATTATGGACCATCATTATCCTTGAGATAAGTTAAATTAATTTGCTTTTTTCAGGTTTCTCATTGTAAAATCAAAATTCACTTACGGAAACAAAAGGGAGAATCAGTCCCTCCAACTATATTTGTCAATATATACTATTAAATTTTTTAAATTTTACAAAAGATGGAAGTACAGCAGCAAAAAGACAATTCCATCAGGTAAAAGAAAAAAGGATAAGAAGGGTCCTTTGGAGAGATCTCCATACTGACAATGGAAGGGAACTAGTCTACTACTAACCTGGAGTAGAGGGTATGCTTGTGTTTTTCCAGAGACTGCTAAATGAGCTGTTTTGGTACCAGAGTATGCTATCAGGCTGTACCATGAAGCCAGATCTGGAGAAGTTAACAGCAATGAGATTAGATCCAACCTTGAGCCTATTGAAGGAACTGACCAAATGGAAATCTTCCAAGGTTTAAATAGGTGAAAAAATACATAAAAACAACTGAGCTGAAGTTTACTAGTATTAAGACAAAAAAAATTTTAAAAACCCAAAAACATAAAATATGCATATAAATTATAGATAAAAGATTGTATTCCTTCCAAATTTTTCTGTGAAGAGATCTCTGCTAACTAATAAATAACAAAATCTGACTAATCTATTTATAATTATAAATTTCTAAAAATTGTAGTAGAGTTACTGTAATTTAATTTGGCCAGGAATGTACTCTGAGTGTACTCTTGATTTTGAAAAGATGTTTGTTTGTGCATTCTGTATATTTATGTGTTTGTGTCATTCTGTGAAGAGCTGTTCCCCTTTTTTCTTTTTTGATCATTTATTCACAATACTCTTTGAGATACAGAATTAGAAGCATCCTTTCTCCTAAACTACCAGTGTCTAAATGATATCAAAATTGTTTTATACACAGTTCATCAAAAAGTTTAATTCAGGTCTGATGAGACAGCTCAGCGGACTAATACCTGCTTAGGCAAGCACAGGAACTGGTGTTCATTCCCCGGTACCACATGCTGTGCTGGCCCTGGCCCTGGGTGTGTTGAACCGGCCACCAAGACCAGTCGTGGTGGTGCAGGGCTGTAATCCCAGTGCGGAAGAGGCTAAAAATAGGAGGATCACTACAAGTCTGAGCTGCATAGTGAGACCCTGTACCAAATACATAAAAAGAAGTTTAAGCCAATTAAGCAAAAAATCCTTAGAGTAGAGACAAATTATTAGAGTGGACTTCAATCGATGAATACAGGGGTGGCCAACTTTTGTTCATTAATAAGGAGCTCCCATTAATCTCAATAGTCTCTTTGGAGAACACACTCAGTAATTTGATCATTGGTTAAAAGATAAAGTTTTTCAG